ATATGTTCTAGATTTGTGTTGGATGTTATCTTTGGAATGGAAATACTGATATTTTATTTGTAAACATCATACTTTTTCCGCTTATTTCATTTAATGTCATAAACTAGCGAGCTAAGCCAGTAGCCAGTAGTAGTGCTGACAGTGTCGTGTAAAACATGACTGAATTCACAACAGCTATTTTAGATTGTAATAATATTTCACAGTTTTTACTGTGGTTTTGATCAAATCAATGCAGTCTTGGTGAGCAGAAGAGACTGAATGTGTTCATCCCTTGTCCAGAGTAAAGATGGTAAAACTCCTCTCCACATGGCAGCCATTCATGGCCGATACTCCAGATCGCAGGCCATCATTCAGAATGGTAAGTGTGTTATTCCGTCTGTTTCTTGTTGGTCTTCCTCTCCTGTTTCTCCTCATCCTCTCTTTCCTCATCTGTAGGCGCAGAGATCGACAGCGAGGATGAGAACGGAAACTCTCCGCTTCATATAGCGGCTCGTTATGGTCATGAACTGCTCATTAACACTCTCATAACCAACGGTGCGGACACGGCAAAGTGAGTGACAGGATGGGTGTTTACAGTTACGCATAATTCATGAGCTCACACTGATCATGTGACCGTGACTCCGCTTCTGTAGGCGGGGCATCCACGGAATGTTCCCGCTGCATCTGGCGGCGCTGAGCGGATTTTCAGACTGCTGCCGGAAACTGCTCTTCTCAGGTGAATCACATTAATCGTGAAGATTTATGGTGTTTATAACAGCAGTTAAAATTGATTTCTGTGCATGAAACTTATTTTTCCCTCTCTCAGGGAAGTGCCTTGGGCTTTTAACTGGTCTTGCTAATGGATATCTGTTGGTTCAGGTTTTGACGTCGACACGCCGGATGACTTTGGCAGGACGTGTTTGCATGCGGCCGCTGCAGGAGGGTGAGTCACAGCGCTGCTGCTCTCTGATTGGCTCATCAGTGCCCCCTGTGGCCTGGATGATCTGTTGTCCTGATCACGTGACCATCTCTCCTTTTCTTCAGGAATCTGGAGTGTTTAAATCTGTTGCTCAACACGGGTGCGGACTTTAATAGGAAAGACAGATTTGGGAGGTGAGTTACAGAGTAGCTAGAATAGATCATCAAAGCTAAATTAACTTCAAAATCAAAATATACTCTACCGTTCTAATGTTTGGTGTTGGTACGATTTTTTAAAGGGGTCACATGATTCTGCTAAAAAGAACATTATTTTGTGTATTTGGTGTAATG